GTCGGGCTCATATATATATATGTATAAAGCTATATGTACACACACACCTACACTGCGAAATATGTACTCTATGTATATGTGTGTATATATATATATATATGTATGTATGTACATTCTTTTACCAGAGCATGGACCAGGTTCCTGGCCTCATGGAGTCTCTCCCTTAATTCCTCTTTGGATCTGTACCTGCGGTCGGAAGGGCCCTGACCCTGGGCCCAGTCGGGTTCACAATATGCTGCGCCGTTTAGTCGCGGAGAGTTTTAGGGTTTGTTTGGAACACCTATCCTCCACCCTATCAGGGTTTAGGGTTCAGGGGGCTCCCAGGCGCTGTCAAGACTTGCCCGGGATTAGCACGTAGGCACAGGATGCAGTGCATTGTGAAGGATCCGCCGCAGGGCACAGGGGCAAATACAGCTGGTTGGCGCAGGCGCGCGATCGTGGGAATCCACGTCCTGCAGAAGGGCCCAAGGCGTAGTCTACGTGCCAGTATGGAGCTAGGATTCTCACGGCTTTCAATGCAGTGATGACCCAAGCAGACTCCACCTTCATGCAAAGCCATCGACACCTAAGACCTAGGGACCGTCTCCATCGGCCTGCAGTCGAGTCTGGGAACACGTCCACGTGGAACGAATCGATACCTGGGATGCATCTCTTGCCTGCTTTCTCATGCGAGGCTTCTTCCCTAGGCCCTAATCTCCAGATCTGAACACCGACCGCAGCCTCCGGGTGGAAATCGCGGGCAAGATGAAACGAAATCGAGGAAGCGAGACCGGTTCACCTTTGAAAGTGAAGCCCAGGCAGATCCGTGCTTTCCTAACACTCACCAGAAACTGCGGAAGACGTGCCTGATCCATGTCCAGCAAGACAGCCTGGGAGCACAGTATCGTGATCTCAGAACAGAAATTCGAGTGGCCTATCTCTAGGGCAGGAGCCACCAAGTGTTGGTATGCCGGCGATTGTTCAGTGAGACCACCTGGTTGTCATACCACACAAATTGTGGGAGCAAGGCACAGGCGAGCCGGCTACCTGATGGACGCAGATGATCCAGTAACTCTTGTTCGCCCCACCTTGGCACTGCACTGCCCAGCCCGATCCTGCCCGGGCTGATCTCCACGGCGGGATTTTGCTGAGTGCCCGGCTCCACGGAGTCTTCCCCACCTTTGCATCATTGCTCAATGAATGCTCACTTCGTGACTGAATCCCATATCCCGTCCGGCCACTCTTGTTGAAGCCTGAGTAGCTTCTGCACTCCACTCCGACTGCCACCGAAAGAAAATCGCGGCATGAGGGAGATGTGGATCGGAGCGTGTGACAGCACAGGACAAGGAAACGGGACCAAGAGACTCAACACGAAAGCCAAAGACGGAAAGAGAGACAGGGAGAGAGAGTGAGAGCGAGACAGAGAAACCACAAAGAGTTAAATATCGGACATGAGGAAAGCACAAAGCGACCATGAAGACAGCAACAGCAGCCAATGCTCGCCGACAGACGACTTCGCCATCTCCGTAGTCTTTGCCGAGGGCCCCGGCATATCATGTCGCGTAGCTCCAGAGCACTGAAGGCACTGAAGCACTCTACGGGTATGACCTGTGCAGGCAGACTTACACTCAACGCTAGTGGTCGCACAGGGTTCCTTTAAATTACCTTGCGCACTAGCTTCTTTGCTTCGTTCGGTAGCGTTTCTCCCGAAGGCCGGGTGTGGAAATTGCGGAGGGCTTGCTACAAGCCTTCATCTTGCGGCTGCGACTTGTCGCAAGTTCTGGATGTGCTGGTCATCAGCCGCTTGGACTTCTTAACGTCAGGCTAGTCCTTTTTTGCTGGCTTCGCCCGAGATGGCTTCCGGGATCTACGCCTCGAATCCTCAAGCAAAAACGCCCTCCCTTGATGAGGCATGTGTGGAGGGTTGAATAAACAAAGTGTGACAACAAATCGGGAGAGCTGGGTGGCTGCATCCTTTCGCGATTAACTAGCAGAACTGCTTCTGCAATTATGATCCTCAGTGTGGTTGCTATTTTACACGTGCATCATACACCACTATGAATGAGCTACAACTTAAATCGTCGTCAAGGTGACCGTCGTTGGTCGTATTAGTCGTCGTGGTAGCAGTAGCAGTAACAATAGCAGTAGCAGCAGCAGTATCAGTA